GGCATCGGAGTCCACACAAGAAGCAGTATGGTACCAATTGACCTGCCTGTGAGGAAAAAAAGGAATTCATCTGGAAACCTCCTAAGTGCTCGAAGGTGTCGGGGTTTTTGGGAAGTTCAACAGGTAAAACACTCTAACTAAGGAATGGGCGTCGAGCCTAAGAGATCGATAGAAAGAGCATAGCGGGGAGCGAGATACCGCAACGATGCAAATGCTAGTCAAAGGACGAATTCACGATTAGAATGAAGGTCGAAGAAGGAGTAATTCACCTAGTTGAGGGACCCGCGGACCTCCTAAGGGTGCGAACTGAAGCGCAATTGGCACCGAAGAGTTGACCTCGGCGACCTATTAAGGCTCAATCTTGGCGCGGTGGGCCAGTGCACGCCCACCGACCATCTGATCACTCGCCGCAGGTCTATACGTGGCGAGTGATTAGATAGCAGAGAGAGCGTAGTGTTGAAGAGGGCACAGCGATGAGAGTCGCATCAATGCTCAAATCAACGGGCAAGGAAGGGGTCCCATTTCTCGGGTTCTGGGCCGTTTCTCATGGTTCTTCCTTCTTTCGTGTACCACTCACCATCCCTAGGTTAATTTGAAATGGGTTGCTTTTTCATCGTGAATTCGTCCTTTAATTAGCATTTGCATCGTTGCGGTATCTCGCTCCCCGCTATGCTCTTTCTATCGATCTCTTAGGCTCGACGCCCATTCCTTAGTTAGAGTGTTTTACCTGTTGAACTTCCCAAAAACCCCGATACCTTCGAGCACTTAGGAGGTTTCCAGATGAATTCCTTTTTTTCCTCACAGGCAGGTCAATTGGTACCATACTGCTCCTTGTGTGGACTCCGATGCCCCGTTTCTGATGTCGTGTAGTGTGCCTTTAAATATGCATACATATGGCTTGCCTAATAGGTTACCTGCAGACGTCGAAGGCAGTTTTCGTTTCTTTCGAACTGTATTCGCTGCAGTACGTGATGCTATGCGATTAGCACATTTTTATCCTAAGGTGACACGTGTCTGCTGTCTCTTTTGCCACCTTCTCATATGCGAAGGCGGAGGCACCGCAGTGCTCAGAGGCGCCGCAGCACACCTCGCGGGTGCGAACTTGGAAAAGCTCTGAGGGTTCCTCCATCTTTCCAAGGTCGAAAATTTGTGAAGAGCTTCTCATGGAAGAACAAAACACTAAAATGAATAGCGGCTCACACGTGAGAGCCTTGTAAAACCCAGATAAGCAGAGACTCCTTCACATTTTTGAATGAATGAAGAATGCATGGCATACCTTAAGAGGAACAGTGAGGAACGATAAAAAGCTGGCAGCTTCATACTATTATAATTATCATTTATCTAAAAAGGAACATTTTCATGGATGTGGTATTGATTGACTTCTGAGTCAACTGATGTCAACTCAGTTTCATTTTTTGTCATGCCATTTCTGGTGTGCAATATTTTTTTCAAACTATTCTTCACCTAAAGGCAGAGAGTGTGAGTTGTGATGGCAGCAGGCTTCGTTGGTGGAGATACGTTGGTATGCGCTCTGACCACGCCCTCAGCACGTAGGCAGGAGTGACCGGACCGCCTCCCGACGCTTCTTCACCAATGATCTCTTCCCCAAATTTACTCCGCCTACCAATCAACGCATTCACCGCACTTCCCAAAACCCGCCTTCTATATGGCATAGCGGAGAAAGTTTTTTGTTTTCAGATATTAAAGGACGATATGTGAATTACCGCGACAGTAAACTGACAAGGCTCCTGAAAGACTCTCTCGGTACTAGTCTTTCAAATTTTGATTTTGATATCATTCTATTGTTCATGCAATCTTTATAAGATATGTAATTATTGAACGTTAAGGTGGAAATGCTCGAACATGTATGATCGCTCACGTCACAGCAGCCAGCGGGCACTATGAAGAGACATATAACACGCTCGTCTACGCTTCGAGAGCAAAAAATATAACGAATAGGGTTTGATCTAGCCTACTTGTTTCAGTTCGGCCAACAGTAATTCAGCCTACAGTCACCGCAGACGGTTATTCAGTGTTGGGTATTGTAGGTGACCAGGAATAGACCGGCATCTGCGGATCAGCCATACACTGAAGCGATGAGAGAAATGCGTCAGGAGTACGAGCGCAGGACAATGAAGCATGCCGCATCTACAAATCAGAGTATGTTTTGACTTTTTCTCACTTTTTTGTATATCTTGTTCGTAACATCTTGGGGCTTACCTTAGTCCTAGCGCGCTCACAAGAGTGTTTAAGTTGAAAATCGACTTGACGCGTTTCGTGTAGCAGTTCATTTAAAGCCATATCCTGTCAATACGTGGAGTCTGCGCTCTCTCGCGTACGACGTGCTCTCTCGCGTTTTCCCTCTCCTCGCAGCGCTGTGTCTCTCCTTCATACCACGGCCGACTCACAAGGGAAAGTTCAATGTTTTCCAATGGCTTTTTGCTTTTTCTTCTTTTCTTTCACTGACAATACTCATTTCACCTCGTTTCTAAAGTTCGAACACGATAATACACCAATTCGGTACCGACCCGTGCCTCTGAGCAGGGTTGCAGCGGAAGGGACCCGGAAACGCGACAACGAGGAGAAACCCAACTGAACAATTTCCAACGAGGAATAGAATGCAATTTCTGAAGAGAGCATACTGTGTAAAATGTTGTGAAGAACAATAGTCGGTTCACAAAAGCCTTTAAAATACCCAACGGAACCGTGTGCATGACTGCATGAAGAGGACATATTCACTCGAAATGGATAAACAGTAAATAAACAAATAAACAAATGAATGATTCAAATCTTCAGAAGACATTATAAGGCATTCAGCGAACAGTTAGGTGCTGTGATATGGAAACCAAGGGCCAAAATTCCAGCACAGGAAAAAAGCCGGATAAATCGCTGAAAACATGGAAACTCAGAACGTCCTTCTGAGCAGCTGCGGACTATGACGAAGATACATTGGACGCCGGGGTGAGAAAACGGTCGAGATAGCATAAGAGACTTACGAGACGCAGACACCTCTCTACGTGAATCTTAGTTTTACGGGCAAAACTTCATGCTCATTAAGACCGACCTAGCAAGGCCCTAGCGCCCTTGACGCACGCGCTTTCTACTATTGTGGATGGCCCTAAACCCACTCTTGAAAGAGGATAGTCACACCCAAGCAATCTTCGAATATAGTGTTGATTGTTCCATGGATTTCGACAATGTTTGCAGTTCCCTTGCCACAAAACGTATCATTAAAATTAACGTTTGCAACATAAATTTCGACGGAGAATTCCGACACGGACCATGAAGAAAAAATGACGACAAATGAGATTTCAATTTCAGTGCGGTAGTACTTCCTTGTAATAGCACGTCCTTTTCGGAGTTTTACAGCACTTCATAGGGAATGTACATGGGAGTAAAGCCAGCAGGGTGTATGGTGAGAGAAACAAACGTGGTGAAAAGTGATATGTTTATGCGAATGGTCAGACAGGTCTCCTTACATTCACCAACGAGTTCTGATGTAGCAAAAACAACATTCGTGAACTAACTAATCGTGAACATAAAAATGGCGCAATTGCAAAGAGAAAAGGAAACGCCTATTTGATAGCATGGAGCGCATACACCTCTGCACAGGTTCAGCTGAATGAGAAATTACTGGCAAGGGGGGTCGTATTGGATTGGTGACTTTCAGAGGAGGGGGTGGGGTCTGCCCCGATTCGAATTCAGCTCAAAGCTTTTGTACAAATCTACAATAGGATCCGGGGTCTTACATAGCGATTCTTGAGGTTGCGCTACATCTTCGTTAATCGAGAATTTGGAAAAACAATTCGCGAAATATTGCTGTTTGAGCAGTTACACACCCGCGCCTACGCATTATCTGTGAGATCGATGTGCTTTTTGTAGGTGAGCGAGGGTTGGGGCGATTATTACTAGGGCCTTGAAAAATGAAATTGGAAAACCAGACACGGGTCATGTAGGGGACTCCAGACTCGACAGATCCTCTGGGGTGCTCATGATTTTTCCCAAACGCACCATTAAACGGTGCGTGTTGTCCCCGTCTGACATGTTCAATCTATCGATTCTTCACTTACTTTACTTTGATGAACTAGTTCTATAAGCAGCAAGCCTGTCGTTCCCAATTTGCCTACGTGTTTCAAGCAACTTCGTAAATAAACAACGAGCAACCGTAGGCAACAAATTTCCGTAGCGGCGGCAAGATCGTCGCTGCAGTACACCCTCCGCGCCCACCGCCCAGTCAAACCCCGCGCCACCCGCCGCCGCCCTCGAACCCCACACACCAGGGCGCTGCGCCGCGGAAGACTTGGACCGCCGCGACTACTAACCACCTCATCAGCAATTAGCTAGTATGACGCGATAGGAAGAGCGAGATATCGTTCGATAGAGCGTCTGACAGTCGGTAGTGTATGGTCACACGCGCCGAGCTAGGTTTCAACATTTGACGTAGTGCTAGAGTGAAATGGCCCGTTTTTCCGTGTTCTCCAGTCGTGTCGCCTAAAGCGTTAGACAACAATGAACGCCGCGTTCCTCTTACTCCAAGCCCGCCGGCCCCTGCGTAAGTAGTGTCCTTAGTGTAGTGTCCTTCAAAGGGTCAATCCTTCATTGGACATACACTGCGGTGCACAATAGATTGCACCCCATAGAAAACTTAATTTTTTGAGAGCCCGAAACTTTTGTTGCTTCTGCCTACGCCTAGTGCAGAAATGAGGCGAAGGAGGTAATGTATCGCTGTGATATTTATTTTGGAACCGTTATGACGATTTTTCAAAGTTTGCGAACAAACACATTATTCCACTGTTTTGAGCCCCGGTGCACGCCGACTCACATTATTCGCATAGCATTGGGACGACTATGTATTGGTACGGATCAAAATTAACCAAGACCTTCTAAGGTCTGTCCTCGCCCATCTAACAGTGTGCCTTCTTCTCAGTGAGCTTGAGACTGGAATCCAGACGTTTGAATCAGCGCATGCTAAGCAGAGTCAACCGCCCTCTGCGTCCTGGGCCGTCAGAGTTTTGCCAGCGGGCCCACGTTGCGCAGTTTCGCCCGATTAGACACGTTCTCTCGCGCGAACATTCACACTCGCATGCTCGAGCCGTCTGCGTCTCCGCCCATACAGCGTGCGTTGAGGATCTCTCAACGTGCCGTTGCGAACTGCGCAACGCAGGGTTGACTCTGGATCAACAGTCAGCGCCAGTTGCGGCAGAGTTTCCGCATACATCTTGTAATGCCCGCATTCTCAGCCGGCTGAACAATTGTCATGCTCCTCATCCCATTTGCGTGAGATGCTTCCCGTCTAGTCTACCCTAGTAAGTTTTCCCGCCGACGGCGTCCGGCCCCGCGCTTGCTCACTCAGATAGACAAGCCGGCGATGTACAAATAATGTTCTTAATTAGTTGGAAGTGGCACCTGAGTGCGCATCACGAAAGCGCCAGTTCGGAAAGCGTTTTATATTCCACGAACATGAAGTTCTTGTTGAAGTCTGAAGAAACGGATGGTCACCCCACCCCGTGTCTGTTCGAGGACTGACTCCCGCGCATAGTCGTTCTGGCTTCCTCCTCCGGTTACCAGGAATCAAAAATGAATCTCAAGGCTCACTCACCCCTAACGGATCCCCCCCAAACCATTCAGTAGAGTGCACCGGTGTTGCTTCGAGGCACCAGTAGTGGTTCACTTCTGCAAGAGCGCCAGTTCGAGTGCCGTTAACACGACTCACCTCCGCCTAACAAAATTTCATCGGAAGAAATTTACCTGGCGTCGTCGGGAAATGACGAACATGAGAATTAAAGTTCTGTCTAAGAACCTGTAGAGTCTGGAAAATGCGGCCGCAGAACAAACTCCGCCTCGCCTCCCCATCTCTGTATTCCCAACATTCCTCGCAAGAGGGAGCCGCTTATGTCGATGGTATTGAGTCAGGCGTAGTGTTGGCTTTATTTATTGTCGAACTATGTGGTCCGATATTTTCAACATTCGAGACACGGTCCATTTCGAAACGACAATCCCGCAAGCGAGCGAGCGCGCGAATTTCTTGGGCCAGAGCCTTTGTGGGAATGCCCAAATTAATCAAAATAGGCAGCTGCACGCGCACCGGGATCGTCGACTTCCGTACCATCTTGTTTTAAAACAGTATTGAGAATCGATTCCTTGATCAACAGCCTACAACTGTACTCCCTGAATTCCAGCGGACTTCTAAGAGATTTGGGTATCCACTCGTCGCCAAGAGAGAGTACGCCTTCCAGCTTTGAACTCCCCGTCTTCGTTCTAAAACGCGTATCGCTTACATAACTCCACCTCACGTATCTATCTGTCGAAACTACTGTGGCTCCGATATTTTCATCGGTGAAAAGTACACTGTGAAAATCAAAAAGCAGAAAAAAAAACATGGTGCGGCAAGAACTGAAAATAATCTCAAGTCGTCCTCAGTCTAATTCTCGCCATCCCGCCAACGAATCAACTGCATTTCGCTCGTAACAGGAGAGGTTCGCCAACGACCACTTAGTATCTAACTGAATATTGTGTCAACATTTTTTATCTACTTCCCCAGGAAACATATCGACAGCAGAACTCAATAAAAGTTTTGGCCTCTCTCAAAAACTAAGTTTTTTATAGGGTGCAATCTATTGTGCACCGGGGTGTACTTCGCATAAGGTGGAATTGGCATAATAGAGAAAGACTTCTTAAATGAAAAATTTCCGAGCACGTGGGAAAAATGAAATTCAGGTGTCAAATGAAAATCCTCTATTTCTCCTTGAGCAGCCATATATGCCTTCTCTCTACCACTTCCCCCATCTCGTCAATGAAATTTCTCTGAAGTGAAAGAATTTGTAGTAGGAGTAGCATAGGACTGGGAGGGGCACGGAGGACTGAGCATTAGTGCGACCGAAGGAGTCGCACGAAAACGACCTGCAGGCGGGGAATGTTCGCTCCTACTTCCTTTGATGAAGCTGACTGGATTCCGGAAATCTCACCCCCGCTATTCTTTTTGCCACTAAGCAATCTTTATAAGTGATATTGGCACATTTAGTTGACAAAACACCGTCAACAAACGATCGATACCGCTACAGTGTGAAGTGGAATGGAAGTACAAGCACGAATGGCACCGCCAAGGTAATAAAACACTTATATGCCTCTTATCCTTTTTATGGGCCGTATGAGGGAAGTGCATGGTGGTTACTTACCAGTAGTAAGCTGAGAATATGCTCAACAGGTATAAATTTATGCATTACACAGAGTGGCACAGAAAAGGAGATGATGGATTTTATAAAGTAGATAAGAAGTTTTACGCTTTTATTGCTGACAACAGGATTTCCATGTCGTTTGGCGTCAAAAAAATCAATTTCAAAAAAAAACGTCCAAAAATAATGCCCCTCCAGCGTTTGCATTCCTGGGTCCCAAACCAGACTTTGCATGGCAAAGAACTGATTCGGTGTTTCCCACGGTTCGCTGAATTGGCCGATTCCGTACTGGTTTTTGAGAGCTGAACCTAATTCCTGAAATTGTTTCGACTGGAAGCTGGTCCCAAGTATGCAGTAAGCTTGAAGGTAACGATCACGATGGCGGGAGGGTGGTGCGGTCTGATGACGTCATAGGTGGAAGGGCGTAAATGACGGTCTCATTCACGCCACCAGCGCGCTACAGATTCTAGTCCACCAATGGCGTTTAAGGAAATCGTCGACGGCGCACCACCCTCCAACCATCATGGTCACTGCCTTTAAGTTTGCTTCACTGGTCATATGTAATAATCCTGTACTTAAAATGTGAACAATACCTCACTAAATGAATAGAGCACTTAGTCGATGCATACATAGAGGCCTAAAAATTTATAACGCTGACAAAATTGTAATGACGTAGAGACTTCATCTATCACTATTACAGTCGCTAAAAACAGCACAAAAATTAGAAAAAATGAACCGTTGATGATTGTTTCAGGATGGCCACATGTCTTGAGCTTTTTTGTTAATACTGCATGGCGTTCATTTCGTCAACGAATTCACGAAATTTTTCCTCATCTTAAAAAAAATTCATTTTTTCCTTTACTTTTGTGAGGATCAATTGAAAAATTTGATTTTTTTCTCTGCCAGGCTGTACGTAGTACCAATACAGTCACTATACGGCGATTATGTTTCAGGCTGAGAAACGCGATTTTTCTTCTCTATTCAATCAATTGAAAGAGCAGTACGTGACCTTATCTGACAAACAACAGAAATTACGGTAAAACATTTTTACTAATTTGGGCTTCAGTTTTTTGACTGACTTTTAATATAACGATCATAATTTCACGACCGATTAGGGAACGCCTGATGAAAGCAAATCAAGATGCCTACGAAGTGGAAATGAGTCGCACGTCGAAATTGGCTATAATACATGCTTGGGAGAAGCACAATCAAGAAGAGAAGGCGGCGGAGAGTATCACTCGTCTGAAGCAAGACGTAACCGAATTGGTAGGTTCCGGGAGACCCATCAGTTTCAATCTACGCACTCAAATTCAAAAAGTGAAGTTAGTCTTGCAAGGAGAAATCACTGGGGATTAGCCACGTATGTTATTATTAGGCTGATGTCAGACTTTGCGAATCGAGCGATTCGCTAGCGTCCGCGGTCGCGTCGCGGCCAGCAATTGTTCGATTGGCTGGTACCGCAACGCCTCCACAGACGGTGAGCAAAGTCTGACATCAGCCTAATAACATACGAGGATAATCCCCCATTGATTTTTCTTTGCAAGACTAACTTTACTTGTGTCTGACATCAGCCTAAGTTTGCTCGTTTGATTTCTATATCACGAAAATTTTTTTTATTTCTGCTGACTCGGGACAGGGCGGGATTTATAGCTATCTCCCAATTCATGAGAATAATTCCAAAAATTAAAAAAAAATCAGACAACGTCGAATCTAGCTCCTTCTATTATTTCTTCAGCTTTTGTTGAAATGTGCCAGCTGAAACTCGCAACGATTTTAGGATGAGCAATTGAATGGTATGGTGGAGATACGACAGAAGCTTGAACGAGCCCTGCGCAAAGGACAAGACACAGCAAAAGCCGTTGAAACTCGGTTGCGATCGCTTGCTCATTCCAAGGAACAAAGCGAATTAATCGATCTCATAGTTCGAATGGATAATATTCAAGCTGAGAGTGAGTGCTGGATAAAAGTTTCCCTTCAGTGCTGGCAACTTGCTCCTTTTCTTAAAGGAGGTAGTCTATCGTGGTAAAATTTCTATGTTGAAGAGGTATTCTTGAAACAATAATCCAATTTTGAATTTTATTTATTTTTCCTTTGTTTATTTGGTCGTCTTCTACATAAAATGGTCATTTGACAGTTGATCTGTTGAGGACCTCTGAATGAGTGAAGAATAAAAAAATTATTTGTTAAATTACGAGGTATTTCTAAAATTTCCTCCCAGAAGAAAGGTAATGGGGAAAGGGGCAAATGTCCCACTCAACAATACGGTACGTCCATAAGAGAAGAGAAAGTCTGAGAAGGATGATTTGACGACACTGAGAACTCCAAACGAATGTGAAATTCACAAGGAACTGCTGGGGAAACTTGAAAATCGGCGGAGTGGAGTGGGCGTGACTCAGAGGTAAAAAAAACGTACCGAGCTCCGCGCGCGACGGTTAGGAGTGGCCGTTTAGATAAGCATTTTGGGACTGAGACAATATGTTAAATTGATCCAAGGTGATAATAAGCCTTTCCGTGAATGAAATATTTTTAATGCTGAATTTGTTTAAGGCCGCGTCAACACTCAGTGGACTGAAAGCTAGCAAAAGCCGCTGAGTAGATGTGTACTGTAATACTCGGCTTAGCTTTTGTGAGAAGTATTGGGAAAATATAATTGATTTCTGAAATTCCACGTCCCCCGCTTCCTGGGTTCTCCCACTCTTTCCATTCCCACGTATCTATTCTTTTACACCGATTCCCCGAATCTCCAGTTCGCTGAGTATGAACGTGCTCCAGAACGAGTTCAGCGCTAACCATAATACCATCATAAAAATAGTTTCTCAGTATCGTTCTGTGCCCATGCAAATTTGTTGTCCCTGCGCAACGCGCCCATCTGAGCGATTCATTCTAATTGCCGCGAGTTGTTGCCGCGCGCGGTATGCGGCGAATATTTTTGACACCACCCTGGCTGAGAATAGACATACTATGACTAAAGAAAAATGCAAAAATATCAGAGAAAAAGGCGTATATCAGAATACAACGAGAACGCAAGAAAGAGAGAACGGAAAATGGGGGTCCAAGGGCCGTTCTTATGGAGGAGTTTGAGGGTGATCCGCATGGCAGTGTGATTCGCAGAAACAGTTATTTATTTGGCAGCTAGAATTATGTCACTTTTTCAGGGATATCGGCTGTGAATGATCTCGCGATTCAGTCACTAATCATGGAAAAGACTGACAGTACAATGTCTAAGCTATCAAAATATGAAATGCTCGCCGAAAAGCTTATCGAAGGACGAGTTGATGGTAAGCGTAGATAGCTACTATAATGTTGTTTGCTTAATTGTTCTATTTCTGCTTGTTGCATCCTAACAGCAGGGCATTGAGAAAGGTGTGTAGAGTATCCCCTCAGATTAATCCTCTGTTCTGACGGCTCGGGCTTGACTAACATTAGTACTACACCAAAATCGAAATTTTGTATTATACGGTGCTCGCCGTGTACAACGCGAAAAACGCGATTTCGCGTTTTTTTTTGTTTTTTTTTGGTTATAACTCGGTTTAAATTGAGATTTTCAAAATCCGAAAACAGCACTGGATGGTGTGATATAATTCAGGGGTTTTGAAAAAGTTGAATAAACGAATGAACCGATTAGCGAGTAAACCCTAACTGCACTTTCGCAAAATCTTTCAATTGGGGAAAACAAAAGCAGAGCCATTTTGGAGCTCACGTTATTTTCAGATAAGGATCGTGAACGATTGGAGCAGGAGTACAGAATAGTGAAGAACCAATTCCATTACCACTTGATTCCTTTGAAGAACATTCAAAGCGTGGTGTCCTGGAATTCATTGCTTCTTCCCAAATTGAACTCTTCACTTTCATCGTAAGCCTTTACTTTTTCTGGTTAAAGGCAAAGTTCGGGCTCAGACCCACTCAATAAGCCCTTATAGTGGCTAGAAGTGCGTGGGACGCAACTGCAGAAGGCGCGCCACGTTCCTGCATCGAAACGCGTCACTAAGACGCTAGACGCTAAGGACTTTGACACGCTCCACCTGTTGCGACACGCTCCGCCCACCGCTCGATATCTTGTCTGCGTCGCTAACTTGATCTGCTATGCTCTCTCTACTCGACTTCTCTAGCGCTCTCCGCGCTCACATTATCTCTCATCTCCCTGCCGGCCTTTTGAACTTCTCCGCAGCGTAGAGCAAAAGGCTCGTATTTCCTGTGTATTTCACGAATTTTTTTCCTTTTTTCTCCACTGGCGGTCCACCTCCCACCCCTACTTTCACATTTGAGTAGAATTCCCCATCAATTTAATCCTGAATCTTGCCTTTAACCAGAGATTCAAAAATATGGCCTTAGTTGATCTTCATACGTTTAGGTCTGATGATTCCGATCGTGCAAGCAATCGCCGCACGAGGAAACGAGACTCTGCGCAACTCCCACTTATAGTGAAGGGACGGGAGCGTGAGCGAGATTCTGGTTCAAGCTCCTATGACAGCAGAAGTGAGTTACTAAATGGGTGCAGTAGCCGCAGGCTCACTTGATGCATGAAATGAATGAAGCATTTAAACGCTGACTACTACTGTGGTGCGCCGTGCGTTCTGCTTCCACTCACAATCGTAGGAGCGTTTTGAATGCGACATGGTCTAAGCTTACATTGTGGGGACATTCAATGTACAATTCAGTGTTTTTATCTTAACAGACCGTCTGACCCTAGTCAGTCATCTACGGAAGGACGGGAAGATTTTTTCGGCCCTGACGACATTCGGACCGGGCTTTACCTCGGAACCGCTCGCGAGAAATGGCTCAGTTGTGATCATACCAACTGCGCCCGTTTATTGACAATTATTTTGATTTCTTTTTACTTGAACACGACACTTTTACGACTTTCTGACTAGTTGTAATATTCAGGTGAACGGCATGATTCGTTGATCGCCAACAGTCTGCCGCCTATTCGATAATGAGCTGCTCAGATTTGACAACGCTCCTATGGAATACATGATCTTTCAATCAAAATGGATGTGACTTTCACTGCTGATTACGCTATGGCTTTCATTTGGTGATACATGCCTTCAAACATTTCGTTCATCTATGTAGCTTAGGGTCTATTCCAATAAGGGGAGCGGCATCATGGTGCTGAGCATCTGGGGCTTTCAAGACCTTTGCGAACATTTTGTGGGTACCCGACAGAAGGCCCACGCGCGGCGAGAAGGCAGAGACGCGGACGGGTTGGCGGACGAGTCGCACCACGTGGCGGACGAGTCGCAGCACGTGTTGCGTTATTTTGGTGTCAAGTCTAGTATAAAAGAAGCTGCTATAGCGCGTCTCAGATCACACAGCACACGGTGCGACTCGTACGCTGACCCGTCTGCGTCTGTGCCTTCTTGCCGCGCGAAATCCCTCCTGTCGGGTACTCCTTTTTTTATTACAATGGCTTGGAATAAAACAGAGAGAAAAAAGAAATAGGAGAAGTAATTACTTGGCTAACTCCTTTCACGGAACTCCCACACAGCGCAGTCGAAATGATTCAGTCATCCGTGCAAAAATTAAGGTTACTGTAGTCGGCACAAACTACTGCAGCATGCCTTCGCCCCCCCCCTCCCCATTTATTCAGATAGCCCCTTAACATGATGATTGATGTGATTGTGTACATTCGTTTCAATACTTTTAGCTTAGATAGGGAATCTAGAGTTGTAATTTATTTTTTCTACAACGAAAATAATGGGGTATTTTACCTCCTTTCTCAATGGGAATCTCATCAGTAAGGAATCTCGGTGATGGAATTGTGCAATCTGGTATTCGTGTGTTGACTACTGTGTTATTATGAAAATTTGTCAAGACTTCTCTTACATTCCGATTCGCTGGTAACAAAGTAGAGTTGTAGTATTTAAACTCATTGACGGCAGCGCGGATTCATACCCTCCCTTTCAAAAAACGAAAAGGGCGTCGGGTGCAGACCATACACCACAAGTGACGACGGCCTCCAAGTAAATCTGGTTAGTAGTGGTTCATAGTGATAGCTGATTTTTGGTAAATGATAGTTGTAATTAGTGACAACTGATAGAATACAACTGCAACAGGCTAATCATTTCATTGGCAGAAAACATTTACATTTTGTGGAGGCCGTCGTCACTTGTGGTGTATGGTCTGCACCCGACGCGCTTCTCGTTTTTGAAAAGGAGTGTATTTTCTGCGCTTTCCTCGGAGGAGACTCGTTCTTCTTAATTTATGTCTCCATGTTTTCATTTATCATTATCGGCTGCAGAAGATGGTACACTTTTCATTAACAATAAAATTATTGATGAAGTAATTCTTATTGGTGAAAAATTTAAAAAAAAGATTGGTATGCGTGCGCTAAACGGCGGTCGTCAATGTGTTAATGTTAAGCATTTAGTTTAGGCGTGTTCTCGCCGGCCAAGTGCTGTTTTGGTAGAAATTGCAAGCATTTTTATATACATGTATGTACGCAGATTTCTTTTGTTATGGGGTATGCTCAAAACGTTAGCTGTTCCAGTAATGCGTGATCTTGGTATACGCCATAACTAGACATTCGTGTAATCATCGCCAGGTCACTTAAGTGAGCTGAGTCAAATTCAAAACTATCAAAATGCTACAAGGCAGTTTGAAGGCCGGAGAAAGAGTGTATAGAGACTGGCGAATGAGGGGAAGTCAATTGTTGGTGCTAGGTGCACGCGCGGGAAGGTGGAGCCAAAAGTAGAAGCTTGCATAAGGCTCCAAAGCAGTCTCAAGGCATTGAACATGTGAGCAGAAGCTAGCGATGGAAGACAGGTCACAAGCCTATTGGTGTTTGGAGCATCCACCGACATTGGCGAAAGAAATGAAGGCGTCCTGTTCCCATTTTCCGTGTCGCTGAAATCGTACGGCGTACGCGTTAGTGTGCTGAGACAAGCTATTGAGAGGATCAAGTGCTCCACACTAATCAATCTAATATTTGGTATGCGCCACACATAGGAGTTCCATCAAAAACAGCAAAAACTTGAATTTGAGTCTGCTCCACACATTGAATCGCATGGACTTTGGATGTTCGCGTCTAATTCCCTAGCTAACGAACTCGAACGTCATAAAAAGTAAACCCTCTGTTGCTATTATGTCTTGGCTCGTAAAAATTTCCTATGCTATTTTTGGGAAAAGCGTGTGCGAAAATACTAAACCTAATAGAGTATATCCTTCTACCTTAAAGGAATCTTCCGCGGAAAAAGCTCCGCCTCCATTACCACAGAAAAACGATACCTTAGGCCCCTAGCCTCATGAGCATAGCAAAAAGAACGGAACATAAGCGTTAGTTTCGATAATACTAATCCTACACACAAGACAAAATGATCACTCTTTCCGTGGAAGATTCCTTTAAGGTATCGTTTTCTGTGGTAATGAGGGCGGAGCTTTTTCCGTGGCACTCACAAACGTGCATTGTGCGTAATCGTGTGTGGTGCATGAAGATGTGTGAATGGGAGCTGCAGGTAGTACTGGTCCCCCCCCCTCCCGATGCCAGCTCAGAACTTGCTTTTGTGAAAAAAAAACTGTCATAGAGGGATTCCATCTAGTGTTTGCATTTTCACGTGAACATCACTTTACATAATCTAGAACGATTTTAAGAAAAAAATCTAATTCCAATCAATGTCCTCCAAATAAATTGTATGTCTTATTTTGTGAATTTTGCCCACATCGCGTTATAAGGTGTTGATATCTGCAGAATGGCTAAACTCGTATTTGTTAACAAGTTATGGTGCTGTGGAACTTTAATAAGAAGTCATAAATGTAAAACGAGAAGAAAAACGAGAAAACAAACAGAAACAAGCGATTGGCGCAGTATGCTGGAGCTAAGAGGCATTATAGCCGGTCAGTCGGAAAGAGGGATTGGACAGCTAAATGTTCTCCACGACCGACACGCCGGAAACACTTGAGAGTGTATGTGTTATTATCGCCAGGGTTTATAGGACGGATGTAATATTGACAGATCACCACCTCCCTTCTATCCCATCGTATTCATACGCGTAAGATTCATTTCCTGAACTGTGAACTTTCCTAGCCTTGAAAATGAAAACAGTTTATGAGGGCACCTTTTCATGCGCAAATCGGAAAAAGCTCATTTGGCCCGAAAACGAAATTAAAGGCTTACCGACCGTATGCGAAAAAATTGAAAAGAAAGCACCGGAATCATTGGAAATACGGACGCCCTTCTTACGGATGGTTCACTTTTCCAGTCTAAGAGGCACTCTTCACTGAAGAGAGGAAACAGACGCGGAAGGAGGGAGAGCGTAGCTGACAGCGAGACAGCGGGTGCTCCGCAGAGTGTACCGTTGTATCACAACGAACAGCGATAACGGAAGTAACACTGTCCTAGCGCCTTGGTCACACACCTCCAAGCTGCGAAACCTTTAGCACAATCGTGGATAGCTCTATCCCACTTATGGACGGGATCGGTTTAGTTGAGCTCATCGCGGAATGCACCTTTGAAGTTAATCCCCCTAAGCAAAACTACGCGAGGTTATGAGAGAGAATTTAAAAAAGCAATGAAAAAGTAAAAACTTCAGTAACATAAGTATTACCAATTATCAGTCATGCTTTGAAATATTTCCAACAAGAATGGCACGCACTAATTACACTTACGTTTTTCCGGACCTGTCACAGGTGGTGCCAGGCTGTTCGTCATCCGTGCTTTGCACAGTTTTCAACGAAGGGATGATATCCGAGTTTTTGTAGAGGGTCGTATTCAGGTTGGCAAAGGTCAAAATGTTGGAAATGGGGTATTTTATAAAGTTGAAGGAGTCGTGGTGGCGAGAGAGTAGGCCGCGTTTGACGTATTTTTTTTTACCTTGAGTGAAAATTTCACTAAAGAATAGAAATAGAAGGAGTTAGAGGTTATGATGTTTTTGTTTTATACCCATATTTAACCCTATGCTGTATCGGCTGGTCTCAGAATCACATACTATGGAAAAAGCGGTGATGGGTAGGATATCGATCGGGGGAGGGTGGTCGGAAGTGTGGAGTGAGTCGTATCGAGACTCTTTGACCCTTAGACTACGACTTTTTCAGAATCGAGTTATAAATGTGTTCTGCGTTGCAATTATCCCTCCCAGCAACAGGCAACCAGCTGTAGAAATTTGGCTGATGTACGTTGGGTGTGACCTGGGATTTGATCTAGGGACCATGCGCGCGGTAGCGGCCCGTCTTGTCATAACACCATTTCCGCTCGGATGATTTTTTTGTTCAATAAATTGGCAATTCTACAACCACACATTTTTTTACAATATTAAAGTCTTCAATGACCCGAAAATTTTTACAAAAAAAGTTTGAAAAGGTCAACATTATATGGTCTATGAATGGTACGGAGTAAAACATGATATACACAAGGGCACGTTGCAAGCAGCACACATTATTTTTGTACGAGTTTTCTTTGGTCCCCAACGTTGATGATCCTCCTGAAATTTTTTGGTGGCCTCCCCATGCCGGGCTTGCGCCTGTTAGCCGTCCTTTCCCTCCCCTGCGCAATCATTTGCTGAGCAAGAGGAACAAGGAATTTGATCAGCTTCGTTTTCTCGTGATGGATTTCCTGATATATTATCCATGCGTTTACAACCGCCACCTGTAGTATTTTATAGTACACCTTACCACCATTTTCTGGAACGTCTATTGAAGTCGTAAAGTGCACATTTCTGATCCAGACAGATCTACTCCGCCCATTATGCTGTTGTAGAAAGAGATAGCTTCAGGGCTCATGTTGCAACTGATATAGTGACTTAGTGAGAGACTAAAACCAGCAGCATAGGCATGAAGAGTGTGCGAACCTTGAATTACCTCTTCCGGAGTTGAGCACAGTGACCAGTAACCTGCGCAGGTGGCTTCTAGGACAGAAACCGACTTTTCGCGTTTGCAGCGCGAAACATTTTCCGCTGCAGGAACCTCAGGTCCTCTGCTGATTATCAGTGGACCCGAGGTTTCCGCAGCGAACAATGTTTTGTGCTGCGAAACGCGAAAAAGTCGCTTTCTGTCCTAGTGAACCACACCCACCTGCGGTAGGACTTGCTCTATTAACTTACGCAGGATGACTCGCTTTAGCTTCTGACATTAAATGAGCGCTCCTGCCTCAATATTCCCTGGAACTGTGGTAGTGTCTTTGACTACGAAGTGGGACACATGTGTCCCACCAGTAGTCAAAGGGTTAAAATAGCAAGGTCGTGGAATCATTGTAACTGGAAAATGTAGGAAGAATGATGCTTCGATCCCGAATTTCCCTCGCACGCACAACTTTCACTAATTTCCTCAAATAAAAATGCCGCACTTCTCAATCTTCGCAGTTTTATTTTTCAATTTTTATTCCTATGGGTACTGAATGAGCTGATTTTAGCGTTTTTATTCCATAAAGTTTAGGTTATCTGCGTGTCGCTGCTTTCCTTCTTTAGTTGACGTAATACTTATATCATTTAGTGGCATAACCGATTAACGCCTGAAAATAAAAGGATAAAAAAATTCGTTGTTCATCCAACCTTTTTTTAGGTTGCACCACAAATTCTACTTTCATTTAAGAATGTAACAGCCCTTGAATGTCATGTAGCTTATGCAGTGATTTTGGTTGCCAAGCGATGCGCAGTGTTTTTGCCAAAGGCACATTTTGCACCGACGGACTGACCTTTCCCAGATCAGGGTGAATAACGGTCGAGGAATCCTCAACCATGGCCGTGTACCCTCCTCTTTCAAAAAGCGAGAAAGTGTCGGGTGCAGACCATACACCACAAGTGACGACGGCCTCCACAAAATGTAAATGTTTTCTGCCAATGAAATGATTAGCCTGTTGCAGTTGTATTCTATCAGTTGTCACTAATTACAACTATCATTTACCAAAAATCAGCTATCACTATGAACCACTACTAACCAGATTTACTTGGAGGCCGTCGTCAGTTGTGGTGTTTGGTCTGCACCGCACACTTTCTCGCTTTTTGAAGGGAAGGGTACATACTGTACGAGAGTAGAGCCGAGAGTGTACGCACACGTGGAGAGCACAGACGGATTCGCGCATGGCGAGTGTGAATGTCCGCGCGGGAGAGCGTAACTGATCAGGCAAAATCCTCGACAAGCCGTTGAGGAATCCTCGACCGATATTCACCCTGGAGCCCAGATGGAAGATGTATCGCTTGAGTAATCTGGGCAAGAATCAATCCCAGATTTGACTCACAGACCGTGCGGCAGAGAAATGGCACCCCCGTCGCTACACCACTACCTAACCGACATTATTGTGAAAATGTGTCTACATGCTCTTAAATTTATCAAAATCAATTTTATGTATTTACTTAAGTCTGATAACAAAAGAAGTAAAAGGAACCTAGAAGAACTATTATCCAATGAATAATAGTAAAGGTAGTGCAGAAGGAGGTTGCAGTGCTACCTAAGGCTCCACGGAGCGTTGCGCCTAAAAACCTTTACAAATGCTATTTAAACTTGCAACTAGTGAGGTAACGTGACCACACCAACAACGGTTCATCAGGGACTTCACGGGATGTAGGCAGGAGGTCTACGAGAAGTGGCGCTGCGCCCTCGATATTTTCTGTGGAAGTAGCGCACCCATCTCAACCCGTGTTCGTCCATAACCGCGTACTGGGCAACCGGGAAATGTTCCCCAATTCTCTTTTCTTTGTCTGACTATTGTTGTTTATCACAAAGTTCACATCGTAAAATGAGCGCCATCGACGTAAATAACAAAAGCCTAATCGAGGCGATAAAGAGCCGCACATGTAGCCTTTCGTCCCTATCTTTGTCGTTGGTGTTTATCCCTCTCTTT